CCCCCCGCCTCCGGGCGTCCGGGAGACGGAACCCGCCAAACGCGGCCCTGGCGGCGGGATGGATGTGGCGCCTCCGCGAACAGGCTGCCGCGCGCACGCTGCCGCCGGGCCTATGCAAATCAGGGATCGCAGCCTCACCAATCAGAGCGGGGTCCCGGCGCTGTTCCTGCCAATGGGGACGAGCGGCGCCGGCGGGCGGGATCCCCGCCCCAGACCCTAGGCCTCCAAATTCTTCCGGGGGCGGCGGCGGCGGCGGCGGTGGCGGAGTGGCGGGTGGGGTTTGGAGAGCAACCTCGGCGCGAGGGGTGTGCGGCGCTTTTCCGGGGCCTGCAGTTTTCTCTGGGCTCTTTGGCACGGGGTTGTAGTAAGAGATCTTACAGATACCTTACTACCAGAATGTTGACTGTTAGCGACTTTTGTCGTATTTGCTTCAAGTTTAATGAGCGACAAAAGTAAAATTCCCTTTGTTTTTCCTCGCTTTTCCCCACTCTTTTGCAGGGTTGTCAGTTTGGTGGGGTGTTTTACGAGGCAGAATAGAGTGTTCTCGGGAGCCTGTGTCTTTTTCATTTCAGGTTTTTATGCTTTGACATAAATGTGATGTTAAAAGCACATTCTTGTATCAAAACATTGTTTTGTGATATTCAGGTTTCCATAAATGGTATCATCTTGGGCATTTCCTTCGGCAGTTTTTTCCCCCTATCTGGGTCGTCTGCTTTACTAGGTATTGCCAAGTTGCTCTCCCAATTTTCACTAGTTTCAGGGGCATGTGGTTACCATTTCCCCACCCTTTGCCAATACTTACTCCTGCTTGTTAGAGCAGCATAGCATCCTGTCCTGCCCTTTTTTAAAAAAATTATTCATTTTTTATTTTATTTTTATTTTTGGCTGCGTTGGGTCTCCTTTCGTGGTGTGATCTAGTAGACCAGGACCCCATCTGTTCTCAGGGCAGGAGGTACAGCTCTTGAATGAGGCTGTCTGAGGCTCTCAGCTGGGCTCCCAGCTGGCAGGCCCTCCTCACCCCACCCTACCTGCACGATGACCAGGCTTGGCTCCAGGCCTTAGGGGACCCTTTCCTGCTCTGAAGCCTTAGAGCAGGCAGAGGGTCCCATAGACTCCAGATTCCAGTAGATGGGTGTCTCCCCCACTGCTGTCTGTGGTCCCTCTGGATCCATCTCTTCCTGCAAAGCTTGTGTACCCGAAGCACAGTCCTGCTTTGTATAGAAGCAAGCAGAACAGACGCAGGCAAGGGAGGGGCTTGGCTCACAGCGCACAGCTTGGCATAGGTAAGTTGAGGGCAAATCTGAGGGGCTCCTGGCCTGGGAACGGTGTCTCAGTTTGGAGAGTTTGGACAAGACCCTGCTTGCTGCCAGGAGAGCCCAGAGGGTAGGTCGGTGGTGGGAACCAGAGAGGGTAATGCGTGGACTCAGGCTCTCTCCCTGTTCTCAGCCAGAAGGAGGAGCAGTCCGCGATGGGAGGTGTGGAACCTCATTCCTTGGGGAAAGGAGCTTTGGCTCGGGCTGTATGGAAGGGTCCCTAGTACATACAAAACCGACCAAGTCCTTGGCCCTCTCTGAGACTTGGTTTGCCCGTCTCTGAATCAGGAGAGTGGGTGCTCACAGTTGAACTCCCAGGATCCCACAGCCACAGGCGCCGGTTGTTGGAGACCGAGAACCTACCTCTTGTCATGGTGTCCCTCATGTGGTGATGGGTGAGGGTCCCCCTTGCGTCCCGGGGCTCCAGGGAAGAGAGGCATGCTGCAGGCTCCGCAGGCAACACTCCCGGCAGGCAGCGGAAGCTAAAGGACTGTTTGGAGGAGCTGGGGCTTCAGTGAAAGGGGTTGGATAATCACACTGAATAACACAAAAAGTTTTATAGGGCAGCCAGGCTGGGGCAGGGCCCCAGTGCCACACTTTTTGAGAATAGGGAAGCACATATGTGCAGGGTGCACTGTGCGAGGCTCTGGGGTCCTAGGAGCAGCCCTGTGGGAGGAGGTGGTCACCCTGGTGCAGGCCCTCAGCATGGGCAGCCTGGTCTCTGCTGTCACCACTGTGTGGCGTCCTTTGGCTCCGGCTCCATCAGGACACCACCATTCGAAGCTTCTTGTCTCGTGAAGCAGCCAGAACAGCCCACATAGAAGATCAAGTTGAGTGATTGCAAAGGTGGGGCCCGAAGGCCACACTGAGTCACACGTGATTTTGCTTTTGGGCCATAAGTATTTATTTATTTTTAGTTGTGGTAAAATACACAGGACGTAAGATTTACCATCTCAACCATTTTTAAGTGTACAGTTCAGTGGCATTAGATACAATACATTCACATTATTGTGCAACCATCACCACCATCCATCCCCAGAACTCTTTTCATCTTGCAAAACTGAAATTCTGACCCCATTAAACACTAACTCTCCATCCCCCGCCAGCCCCTGGCACCCACCATCCTTCTTTCTGTCTCTGTGAAGCTGACTCCTCTAGGGACCTCATATAAGTGGGATCATACAGTACTTGTCCCTTTGTGACTGGCTTATTTCACTGAGCACGCTGTCTTCCAGGTTCATCCGTGTTGTCTCGTGTCAGAACTTCCTTTTAAGACTGAATAACATTCCATTGTGTGTAGAGACCACACTTTGTTCATCCATCATCCATTGATGGACACCTGGATTGCTTCCACCTTTTGGCTGTTGTGAATAGTGTTGCTATGAACATGGGTGTGCGAAACTCTCTTTGAGTCACTGTTTTCAGTGCTTTTGGGTGTGTCCCCAGAAGTAAACTTGCTGGATCAATTCTACGTTTGATTGAGGAACCTCCATACCGTTTTCCAGCAGCTGCAACGTCTTACATTCCCACCAACAGGGCACAAAGTTCCAATTTCTCCACACCCTCACCAACACTTGTTTTTTTGTTTTTGTTTTTTTAATGGTAGCCATCGTAATGGGTGTGAGGTGGAGTATTTCTTCTTTTAAGCCCACATTTTAAAAGTGGGAGGTCTCACAAAAAGAAGTTTATAGTTTCCACATAAAATATTCTCAGGAGGGACTTCCGTGGTGCCACAGTGGTTAAGAATCTACCTGCCAATGCAGGGGACATGGGTTCAAGCCCTGGTCCGGGAAGATCCCACATGCTGAGGAGCAACTAAGCCCGTGCGCCACAACTACTGAGCCTGCGCTGTAGAGCCCTCGAGCCACAACTGCTGAGCCTGCATGCCACAACTACTGAAGCCCGCACGCCTAGAGCCCGTGCTCTGCAACAAGAGAAGCCACCACAATGAGAAGCCCGTGTACCGCAACGAAGAGTGGCCCTGCTCACCGCAACCAGAGAAAGCCCGCGCGCAGCAACGAAGACCCAATGCAGCCAAAATAAATAAATAATTAAAAAAAAAAAATCTCAGGAGGTGGCTCTGATGACTGAGCCCCGTGTGGGACCACTGCCGGCCGAGGCACCCTCCTGCCAGGCCTCCCTGGATGGCCCACGCCCCTCCATGCCTCAGGAGGGGACATCAGAAACTTTCAGGAGGTGCTCCTAATAGGTCTGAGAAGGTGGGAACCTCTCTCCACATTCCGCTGCATTGCTGCCTGGAGACCATCAGCAGGACTGGGTGGTCACTGCCCCTCTTCAGGGGGGGGTCTGTGTCCTCCAGTTGGGCAGGCTGTCCTGCCCGGCCTGGGGCCGGTGCACCTCTGTGTCTGAGACCCTGGTGCAGTTCACACGCACCCATTCTGTAGTGGGGAACCATGACGGCTTCATACTGTGTCACGCTGGCTGCGCTGCAGTACGTCTCCCAGAGCGCCCTCGCTGCTAGGTTTCCCGGTAGGGGGTGGGCCACAGGCAGATTCTTGCCAGATTTGGAAGGAAGCAACCATTTTGGTTGGTGAGCTGCTGATTTACCTCCTTGTTGGGAAGCGGCACCTGGGCCTGCAATTACCCTACTTTCCCTGGGCTCTCCTTCAGTTTTTCTGACTCCTGGGCCAGGTGTGGACGTGTTGAGCTCCGGATGGAAGGTCCCAGCTTCTGCAGGATACCCTCATCGCCAAGATCAAAGGCAACATGGACATGGGTTTCAGTCCTGTGCTCAGTGCCAGGCCCTGACCTGGCAGAGGACAGCTTTAGCTGGGTTGGTCCCCAGCAGTTGAATGGGTGGAGACCCCATCCTTTGGGTCGCCCAGGCTGGTCGACCTGGAAAGGGGCCTTTGCAGTGTGTGCAGAGCTGTCCGGGGCCCAGGGAGAAGCAGAACCCAGGAGCGCAGAGCGTAGACCCGAGACCCTGAGGAGGTCCACAGGGAGGCAGGGCCCCAGCCCTGTGAGAGGAGGGAGGCGGCTTCACAGGAGGAGAGAGCGCTACCCCAGGGCTGCGAGAGACAGAAACCTGAGGCCCTGGCCACGGGTGGTGTGTTCAGACCGCCCTGGTCAGCAAGTGAGTGAGTAAGAGAAATCTGTTTTTGGCTCTGTTTACAGGTGAGGGCACTGAGGCTTGGAGAAAACAGTCTTGCCCCAGAGAAAAGACCATGGTGGACCCAGGCTCAGAACCCTGACCTCATCCTCTGTGGGCCCCCCACCCAAGTCCCCTCTATCAGTGCGAGCGGGCGTGGGCTGTTGCTGTGCCCTATCTTACAGACAAGAAAACCACTCAGTCCTTTGTCTCCTTTGCTGCACAATGGATACCTCCTCCAGGGCCTCAGTGTCGCGTGCCTTCAGTGTTCACCTGGAATTGAGGCCCCTTGAAGCCAAATCCAAGAGACACGGTAAGTAAATGGGCTCCCCCGCTCTGTGCAGGAGTTGAGTGTGATGTCAGGGCAGAAAATACACCTTCAGCACCAGTAAGGTGAGTGTTGGAACACCTCCCTCGCTGGGCTGTCTTGAGGCTGAGGTCTCTACCCTTCCTCAGAGTGCCTGGCACACGCCGAGTGTTCATTCAACTTCAGGACGTGGGACCCACCTACAGAGAGGCAGCTCGGCCGAAGGGTCTGAGTGAGCAAGTTGGCAAGGTGGGGGACCTGTGGGTGGAGGACAGTGGGACCCTAGGAGAGTGGTTTTGAGGAAGAGCAATGTGAATAGATGACAAGGTCCAGGATATGGGCATGGGAGGATAAAGTGAGTTAAAGGAATGAGAGACCAGATTGCAAGGGACAGAAACCCAATTTCAACTAGCTTATGTGAAAAGCAACTATCAGCTCACAGAATAGCCAAGTCTATGTAGCTTCAGGTATGGCTGGATGCAGACGCTGCATTAATGTCCTTAGTTCTTGGCTCCACTTTTATGTCTTGGCTCTTTTTTCAGGTGGGTTTTCCCTATGTGTTGACAAAGATGGCCACTGGCAGCTCTGGCCCATGTCCCTACCCTTAGTGATCCTGGGCGAGAGAGCACCTCTTTCTCACTAGTTCCAGGAAGTCTCAGGATTGACATTGAACTCACCGGCGTCAAGAACCAGTTTCTCCAATCATTGTGGCCAAGTAACAGACTAAACACCCAACAGCCAGGTCTTTGGTCACGCGACCATCCCTGGGAGTGGTAGGGTCAGACCCCCCCAGAGCCACGTGGCCTGAGAGTAGGGGAGCGGTTTGTCTCCAGAAGAAAATTAAAGTGCTTTTTATTATCAGAAGAATGAGAGGTGCTACCTGGAGAAGATAGGTCTTGGCATGGACAACAAGCCAGAGGCCAAATCTTCAAAGAATGAAGCGGGGGGCGGTGGTGACAAGAGAAGGGTGTGGGGGGCACATCAGGGCCAGAGGCTGCTGGAAGAGCCAGGTGGTGTGAGCAGTGAAGGGCGGATTTCAGTGGGAAATCTGGAAGGACAGTGTGGAATAAGGCCAACCTGAAGGGCACTTTGGGGCCTTGGAGCTTATGGGATGTCTTCAAAGGATAGAGTCAGTAGGGGTGGAGCTTTGGTCAGGGAGGACTCTGGGAAGGGGAGGTGGCTCAGTGTGAAGGGTTGGGCAGGAAGGAGCAGTGTCCACGTGCCCAGGTCCCTGCAGCCCTTCCCAACCCTCTCTGAACCTCAGGGCAACCTAGGAGAGGGTCAGAAACCCAAGAGGCCCCAGCCTCAGATGCCGACTTGGACAACTGGGGTGAGCCCAGGTGGCATCTGGGCTTGGGTTTCTGGTTTAGGGAAAG